GTGCTAACTAACACAAGATGGGAAAAAAAATCACGAATCTACTAAAATGCGCTAAAAAACACAAAGATTCTATTCAGACATGGCCAACAAGACACAAACTAAATGCCATACAATAACGATTTGTTGCAGTCAGCTGTTAAACCGAACCATACAGATAAGAGGCTTGTCCCAGACTACCAAATAGAGCACAACAAGTAGGCACGATAGTTCCATAGTTGATTGTATGGCATTTATGTGTAAGAAATACAGTAGCAATAGTCAGCAAACCACACCATTAAAACTTACGGGTTCTCTAGTCCTGTACCAGTTGACTGTCCTGGGAAGTTTCACGCAAATGTCACATTAACTAAGTTGGACCATTTATTGTTCTTAATCCTAATAACATAGCGCCATCTACGTACAACCTCTGATCAACGGATGCAAAAAAGAGGCAGAGGCACAGCACCTTCCTGTTAACAGCCTGATTGTAGTCTGTCATTATGATGTTACCCATGTTCATGTGCCCATATATTAGTCCTGTACAGGATGCAAAGATGCATGAAGTTGCTTGATAGAGAGCACCCATATTAAAACTTTATAAATCAACTCACCTCACCGAAACCTTTCCAGACCATCTGAACTAGAGAGCCGAACTAAAAATCCATGGGCATGTATATGTCGTATTCCTGCTACATGGCAATCCATCTCTAGTTTGGCTTTCCACCTTTTTGTTTCTAATTGAAGGATCAACATCTCTCGTCCAGTTGCCGTTTGAACATATCAGTTGTCCGTGTTGAGTTCGAGTATTAGAAGCTATGAATGGGATGTGTCGAAAGTGCGAGTTCATGTTCTAGCCGATAATCCTGCGTGGACGACAAGCTATCATTGTTGGAAATAGTATGTAAAATTGACAAATAAGGATTGCTCCTCACTAGATCGAGCAGCACAATGCAAGGCTCTCGATAGGGAGAGTCAATTAGAGCATAATTAGTGGAAAATATACAAAACCACGCTAGAAATATCAGTGACATTAGGTAGATCATGACATAACATTGAACTTAGTCCTTGCATCTATGCTCCTACTTTGTCTTCGTATCAAATCAACACCAAACTTTGCAACTGAAATTAAATTCAAGCATGTCTATTTCTTGTGTATAGCTTAGTTGTAGATGCCCGACAACGGCTTTGGCGCCACTCCCGCTCGACCGGCCAGAGGCACACCTAGCGATGACGATGCAGGTTCTTGCTCTGCAGAGCAGCATCAACATTGGCTCGACTTATCTCCTACCCGATACAGGCCCTGGTGGTTTGGGCTCAGATTTTCCTCCCAAAGCTCGGCCCAAAAGCCCGAACAGCGAAAACAGGAAATGAATCATTATTTTATTGAAAACATAGATATAATATATATTTTAAATATCCTGAAATCATTATTTTAATAAAAAGAGCAACGTTCATCCGTTTTAGGATGGGCTGGGCTTGGGATTGGGATTTTGAGGTCATGTTGCAAAGCTCGGCCTGAACCCAGCCCCGCCCGTAGGATGCCCATGTTTAGTGACCAACAGTCTTTTGCAGCGACAGTAAAGGTGGAAATTGAGAATGGTGAGACTGCGTCTTTCTGGAAATAATCGTAGATGTTTGATGAACCGTTGAAAAATTGTGTGGCCCTCTATGCACACATCAAGAGAAAATACATGTTAGTTTAGGTTGCCTTATTAAAAAACGGAAACACTAACGCCCACACGTGCGGGCGTTCTTCAACTCGCCCACACGCCTGGATCGTCGTTCACTGTTTTTTGCACGAACCTTGACACGAAAAGGTGGATTTGGTGTGCCACGTAGGACGGGGCTGGTGTGTGGACGTTGGAAAGTTTGCCCACACGCCCGCACCATGCTGTTTGTCAGCTGCGCTGTGTGGGCGAACTAGTTTTTGCCCACACAGCCACCACCTAGGTCATGTGCATGTGGGCGAACTGCTTTTCGCCCCACACGACACACCTACGTTGTGGATGGCAACTGCAGTTACGCGAATGTGGCAACTCGGTACACACACATGACAACTGTGATTCTTTGCTAGACGGCAACTGCAGTTGCGCGTATGTGGCAACCAGATAAACACACATGGCAACTGTGATTAACAATACATGGCAACTATGGTTGGACCATATGTGGCAACTAGCCAAACACACATGGCAACTACTGTTTGACCATATGTGACAAGTAGTTAATCACACACGGCAAGTACGGTTTGATTACAACACGCGACAACTACCATAAATTAGACATGGCAACTATAGTTAACCAAAACAGATAGAGTGGCCATGCTTTTACAACTACACTTGCCATCCCGGATAACTACATCTGCCAACCAGGATTGCTACTAAATCGTCATCCCGCGGGGTACCTAACGTAGCTGCGCCAGGACGTGTGGAAATTTTTGCTTCGTGCCACACGCACGGGGCGGAGATGAATAGTACTTGTTGGGCGTGTGGCACGAAGTAACCACGCCCACACGTGTGGGCAATTCTAATGTCCGCCCACACACAACCCGTGTGGGCTGCCACCTGCTCACACCACACACCGTGTGTGGGCGCATGTTGAATATACCACACGTGTGGTTGATATTGGCGTCCTTAAAAAACCTCTAGATCTCCCATATCCGGCATGATATGATCTATCAGATTTGTTGGCGCCTAGCCCTAGCTTGCTCATAGCGCCGAAGCCCAGCTCCCTCTGCACACACCTCTCTCTCTCTGCTTGCTATGCTCGAGCGATAGAAGGAAGAAGAAAGGACATGGACACGGTGATGTTTTCCGGCGCACATACGCCCACCGCGGCAACGGCAATCTTTTTCCCGAGCACAAACTCGATACCACACTGCCAACATACAAGGGAGGGAGGGTCTTTTATGCGTGCGCGCACCGACGTCCCACGCCGCACTCCTGATGCACCACTCGCGCACTGCCCATGTCGACGTCCTGCACTCTACGTTCGCGCCCCCGAAGCGCACGCACACCCTCGGGCGCGACCAGGTCCAGTGCCAGAAGCGGTCACACACCCCCACAGTTCGCCAACTAACACACGCACGCACACACACGCTTGCTGACACACACACACCCAGACATTATTTGGACACGCCTGTGATCATACAGTAGTCAGACTATGCCCAAATGCAGACATGCACGCACGGCCACGGACCAGGCGCGGCCCCGACCAGCGCCGACACAGGTAGGCACACACACATGAACTGGACATGCCCGCCATGGCTTATTTCCCAACAGTCACACCCTAAGCCATGTCGTTGCCACACGGCCTGCCGACAGGAGCCTTGCCATGTCGTCGTCGTCTCGGTGCCATGTATGCCTCCGCTGCACCTCAGGCACGAGCCGCCGCTCGCTGCCGCAGCCGCAGCCCGCAGTCCCGTGCGCCGCCGCGTTGCTTCTCCATGCCAAGCGCCACTGTGCCTCCACGGTCGTCACGCCGAGCCGCCGCGGCCTCTACGCCACCATGCAGGCCCTCCGCGACCTCCTCGCATCAGCGACTGCCATGCTCATCGCGCGCACACCATCACACTACACCGCCGAGGAATTGCCGAGCACCGCAGCCGAGTCATCCATGTCCGTTGTGCGTGTCGCGGATGCCACGGTCCCCCGAACTTGCTAGCTCTGATGCTAATTGTTGGCACCTAGCCCTAGCTTGCTCTTAGTGCCGGAGCCCATCTCCCTCTGCACACCTCTCACTCTCTCCGCCAACAATGCTCGAGCGACAGAAGGAAGGAAAAAGAACATCGACACAGTGGTATTTTCCGACGCACATACAACCGCCACGACAACAACAATCTTTTTCCCGAGCACGAACTCGACACCACACAGCCAACATACAGGGGACGGAGCGGTCTTTTATGTGTGCGTGCACCGACGCCCCACGCCGTGCTCTCGACGCACCCACTAGCCCACTGCCCACGTCCCGCACTCCACGTTCGCGCCCCCGACGCGCACGCACACACTCGGGTGCGACCGAGACCAGTGCCTGACGCGGTCACACACCCTTGCAGTTCGCCAACTAACACATGCACGTGCACACACGCTTACTGACACACACACACAGAGAGCGCGCACCCGGAGATAATGGCCAGACGCTTGTCAAACAATGCTCATACAGTAGACGGACTATGCCCAGACACACACGTACGCACGGCCACAGACCCGGCGCGGCCCCTACCAGCGCCGACACCCCCAGCAGGCGCACAAACACACACTGGACATGCCCGCCGTGGCTTATTTCCCAACAGTCACCCGCTAAACCACGGCGTCGCCACACGGCCTGCCAACAGAAGCCCTGCCACGTTGTCTGTTGTCTCGGCACCATGTACGCCTCCACTGCGCCTCAGGCACGAGCTGCCGCTCGCTGCCGCAGCAACGGCCCATAGTTCCGTGCGCCGCCACGCCATGTCTCCGTGCCACGCGCCACTGTGCCACCAAGGTCATCGCGCCAAGCCATCTTATAAAATTGCCTTTTGGTAAAAAAAATAGCTGCGGTTTCTCTATGTTCTCTTTTTTTTTTGAAAATGTTCTCTACACACCGTGCGTCTCTCTCCCAGACCGTGCATTCCACATCAGGGAGTGGAAACAACTCCTCACGGAATCTCTCTCCCAGATCGTGCGTCTCTCCTAGCGCCGACGGCCAGCTGCTGCCGTCCCTCCCGCGCTGGCACCGCGCTCCTCCTGCTCTCCGCCTCATCTATCCCTCCGGCAGCCATGCCTCTCCCTCCGACGACCGCGCCTCTCCCTGCCTCCTCCGTTCGTCCTTGCCCTAGCGTCCTTTGCCCTTACCCTAACCCTAGCTCCTCGAGGGTCGAGGCAAAAAATGGCGGCGCTCCAATCTAGCCCCTAAAAGAAACGGTGAGTGCCCCTGGTTTCTATTACTCCTCTCTACCTGCTGCTTTCCCACTTTTGATTTGCTTTTAACAGTCTTGATTGATGATTCTCTTCCGATCTTTGCTTTCAGGAACCCTAGACTGAAGTATGAGCCGCCGCCGTTGCTCGCCGGCGACGGCACCCCCGCTAGAAGACGAGGACCTTCTCCAGGAGATCCTCCTGCGCCTTCCTCCTCAGCCATCCTCCCTCCCTCGCGCGTCCACCGTATGCAAGCGCTGGCTCAACATTCTCTCTGACCCACAATTCGTCCAACGCTTCCGCAAACACCATGGGAAACCCCCACTCATCGGCTTCTTCAGCCAAAGATATGACGTATTCTGTGACTTCAAACCCGTCCTGGAACTGCCTGACCGCATACATGCCCATCGTTTCTCCATGCCCAAGAGCCGCAGCTCAATGGAGCAGTGGCGCTTCATGGGCTGCCGCAACGGGCTCACTGCCCTGATCAACGAGTGTCGGCGCGAGGCCGTCGTGTGGGATCCTCTCACCGGCCGGCAACATCACGTGCCTTTTCAACCGGGACTCCAAAATGCCCTAACGGGTAGCTTCTGTGTATGGCATGCCTCGGTGCTGTGCGCTGATGCCGAACATGGGCACGGGCATGGCGATTGCATCTTGGGCCCGTTTAAATTGGTCTTGATCTGCAACGGATACAAGCAGGCATTTGGTTCTATCTATGACTCGTCGTCTGGTTCTTGGGGAAATATTTTCTCGACGGCGATAGCAAATGAAATTTATGCCAGAAGGGGCAACATCCTTGTTGGAAATGTGCTTTGCTGGTTGATTTGTGGAGGTGATGTCCTTGTGTTTGACATCAAAACGCAGAGTCTTGGTGTGATCGAGAAGCCGGCAGACAACCATGTTACCATTGACTTGTTTTTTCAGCTCTTGCGCATGGAGAAAGGTGGACTAGGCCTTGCTGTTTTGTCTGAACAGATCATCCAATTATGGGAGAGGAAACCTAACTGTGACGGTGTTGTCGGATGGGTGTTGCTGCAGAAAGCCATTCCTTTGAAGGGGTTGCTTCCAAGCAGAAAGCCTTTGGTACTTATCGTGGGGTATGATGAGGACACAAATGCGACTGTTCTGTCTACGGGGATTGGCAACTTCATGCTCCAACTTGACTCAGTGCAGATCAAACATATCATTAAAAGAAATAACATGTGCATCGACATGTTTTATCCCTACCATAATTTCTACACTGCAGGTAATACCTCCCTATCTACATTGCACAACCAAAATAGTCCATTATTTTGTTTTGCTGGGATTCAATACTGTTAATATGATTAAGTGGTTGTTTGGATATGGAGCTTTAGCCACGAGTATATAGAAAATCAGTGTTTAGCCTATTTTTAAGAAAACCCGTTTTACAATCTTTTAAATCAACAAAGAGTATATGGAAAATTATGTTTGGGTCAGGAAAGTAACAAATCGGTGATGTATTATTCCTGTTTGGATAGCGATTAGCCTATTCTCTCGTATGCCAGGCGTGATCTCTTCTTGCTTTCCCCACTCGGCCGCCATTGACAACCTTCCGAGATCCAGCCTAGGACTCCTTCGTTCCTGCTGCTCGCGTCTCCTCCGGCCACAAGGATCCCGTCCGTGGTTGCAGGCGGGCTCTTCCCCAAGTCACGGAGGTTGTCACCCCGAGCATAGAATATGCCGTGGGCTGCTGCTCGCCTTCCAGTTGACCAACACGACTCCATGTGCAGCCGCCGGCAGGGCGTTTACCCTGGTCGCCTAGCTCTTCTTCCCCGCAAAGACTACCCTGGGCTGTTGCATGTCGTTGCCATGGAAGTACTCCACCGTCCTGGTGTCGTGCGCACACTCACTGCAGTCAAGGACACATCTGCGGCCATGCCAGGGCTATACAACAAGTGTCGGGGAGTCACACTTCCGTCCCTTGAGGGAAGCGGGCAGCGCATCGTGCCATGGGGAGGACCACAAGGTCGCCGTCAGCATGGTCGTACACTGGCATAGTCGCCTATCCATCCGCCATCCGCCACCGTCCGTCGTGGCTGCCACAAATCAGCGCGCCGGCGTTGGCGCCAGCTCCAGCCTTGTGGGGGAGGAAGGCGTTCTTCTCCATGAAGATCAACGGCATGCCACACAACACAATTCAGGACCTATTTTTGTAAAACGCGTTTGCACAAAAACGTCTTGGAGCCGTTTGTCCAAAAAGCAAAATCTGAGTATTACAAGAACCAAGTTTTTCTTGTCCAAGGATTAGTTAGATTAGCCAAACCAAGTTTTAGCTAGTTAGGCCCTCAAACACGTTTTTAGCTAACAGGTTCTCTAAAAATTAGCTATCCAATTCCAAACAACACCTAAGGATCGACTAGAATACATTGAGCTGTTTGTTTCTTTGTGGTGCCGGTGATTTATCGTGATATAACTTATTATTACTGGCCTAAATTAAAGCTGGACGCGGATATCTATTGCTTTGATGCCTTGCCACTGCTAAATGCTTACTATGATTCTATCCATTTAATGATCTTTCCGTTGGGAGGTTTATAAGAATTGGAAACTGGCTATAACTACACTAAGAGAATATGACGAAACTATCTGCGATGTGAAATAGGTAACCCATTGCCACATCTGGAAGCTTAAAGATTGTTATGTTGTTCTATTGAATAAATGTATGTGCAAGATAATCTTTATCTTATCAATTCATAACAGCACATACTTAATTTTCTATTGGAAAACAGTACGGGTTCATATAATTTGAATGGCAATATGTGATGCTAAAATGTGCATATTTTACTTTGGCACATTGGTCTCATCATTCTTGTTTTGCATTTTTCACAATAGTACAGGCTTTCTTCACAATAGTTCCAGATAAATGCATTTTTCTTGACCATCAGAACAGTCTCATCATTCTTGTTTTGCACTTGGCAATAGATGTGGCGTCATTCACTATCCTTGCCACAAAAGCTACTTTTCCCTCTTCCATTTACATAAATATACAGTGGTTTGCATAAATTGCTTTCCCATCGATTCAACTTCTTTTTGAATTTTCATTGTTTTTTTGGTTTTAGGCAGGGGAGTTGGGTGGAAATGGGTGGAGCTGGATCTTTGAACTCTTGTGATCTAGTAATGTGCTATCTTGTTGAATGATTGAGGTAAATTTATCTTCATGTTCTGTGTATGTCTTTACGGCAGCATATTTTTTTGTCTTGTCTACTTAGTTTAGAAGATTATGCATGATTTATTGTTGTAGGTTGTAATGCATGATTGTGAATAATTTCTAGACTGTCTAGCTCTCACATTTCTAAATAGTATGCTGTTGATCTAGAACAATCTAAGAAGTCTAGTGTTTGCCTCTCTTTGAGGCATTCAGTCAATGATCTTTTATGATCTACTGCGATCATATGTACTCATGTAGCAAAAAAATCATAAGGACATTTCAACTAAAGAGGTTGAAGGTATGCTCTCAACCATTACAGAATAATTGTTCTTCTATTGTTGTTCTCCGTTTGTATTTTTCTTTTCTTCTAATAGTATAATTTTGGTTCACACAATGATTCAGCTTTAGATTCTTTTGTATAACTTGCACAATGGCAAAGTTAAAATGTACTATTGGAATCGTGCAAAATTTGACTTCTTTCGGGAGTGAGTAGTACAAATTGGGTTACTGACATGACATTGATTGTTCTGCAGGTACCTAGAGTTATACATGGGTTTCTGAAATGAAGAAAAATGTCTAGTTGATTTAGTCTCCTCCATATGCTGAAGCATGTGATGTGGTTGACGCTGAGATTGCACCTCTGTAGTATATATGTAGGGGAGCAGGTTTATGCACATGGATAATTTGTATGGTCACCGAATCTGCCTTCTCACACACCTCTGGTAGTAAAGTTATTTACTGGGAACTAAGACGAGAAAGAGAACTCTTCTTCTCCCCCCTCTCCCCCCTAG